TACGTTTCACATTTGTGTTTTAAATAATGTTTTATGTATTTTATACATCAACATTAAAATTGCACATTTCTTACCCGGTAAGAGATTACCGCATTTAAATGCCCTCCTCTCTATAAAATTTGCTATACAGTGTGGGTTTAATTGACTTTTTTACAACATTTTATTTTGAGTGCAATTTGCCAAATTAATGTGTTTTTTTTCTGGTTATTTATTAATAGATTTCGTCTAAAAATCTTTGGTTTTTTAATAATATTTGGAGGCAATTTTTCGTTTATAATAGATTTTTCTATTTACTGTAGTTTAATTTCTTTGTTTATTGTCGGTATAAACGTTTTGTTGAGATTGTGGTTCGAATTATTGTTTTTTTAGATTAGCCTGTTTGTGTCCTGAAATAAGCTTTTTCTTTGCTACGTATTGAAATTATGACGAAATTGAGATAAAATAATACATCTGGTCACGATCTAAATGAAGCGTAATATTTTTTATTTGTAGAATTAACGGTTTCCATCTACAGTATGTCCCCGGATTGAGTTTACAAGAGGAAAGTTTTTTTATCTTTGATTTTACGCCAAAACTGCAAAGGAAAAAAAGTTTTTGCTTTACTTGAAACCAGCGAATCTGCAATTAAAACTTCATTATTCTAACTCAGCAGAAAGAGAAGTTCATTTTTCTCTTGATTTTGGACTTAATAATAATTTTTCTCTGCTTTTTAAGCCTTATCACATTGGCGGTTTTAATTATTTGACAACTATATGTCACTTTGACAAATAATTTATTAATTAAATAATTATTGTTCTTATTAAAAATGACGTTGGTTTTTATCTTAGAACTGTTTCTTTGAGTTGCTGTTTATTAAAATTATGTTTTTCACAAACATTTTTGTTTTTTAACTTGCGTAAACTCATTTGTCAAAGTGACATCATTCTCAAAATAATAAAACCACCAATGTGATAAGACTTAAAAAGCAGAGAAAAGTTATTCTTCCAAAATCAAGAGAAAAATTAACTTTTCTTTCTACTCAGTTTAAATAATAAAGTTTTAATTACAGATTGTAAACTCAATCTGGGGACATACTGTATATTGCCAACGTTTTTTTTACAAATCTTTAATAGTTATTTATTCGACAAGTTTGAGTGTAAATCGGACGCTTTATCTCACGAGAGGATTATTAAGCCACGAGTGTTAACGAAACAAATAAAATTGAAATTGAAAAAATGTTTTATTTCAAAAGTTTGAGGCATCTGCACCAACTTTTAATTATAAAACTTAAACATTAAGAAAAAAAAACATTAAGAACAAATCCTCTGACTTTGTTATATCATAAAACTTGACATTATAGTGCAACAATTGTTCATTTTAAGACTTACAATTTTTGTCCCTATTTATTCTGATCGTTTTTGATAAATTTTATCTAAAAGTCTCAGATTTTTTATTACTTGATAATTTTTAAAATTAGGTCTTTTTTGTTTCTCAATTTATGTAATTTTTTTAACATTTTCATTTTACGGTCTTTAAAAGATCTTTTTTCTTTCAATATAAATGTATCGTAAAAATCTTATATTTGTAGGTATACATATTACTATATTCATTATACGAACACTTTAAATTGTCGTTCAATTTATTGTTTAAGTTAAATTAGTAATAAATAATGAAGAGCTTGTGTCCCGAAATTAGTTTTTTAACACTACAGGAGAGTGTGACAAAACAAGGAAAAAAAACCAATTTTGTTAGATTTTGTCTTGAAGTCTCAGATTTTTTGATAATACATATTAGAAGCTAATTTTCTATTTTCTCATAAATTTCATTTTTGTTGTTTCTTAGTGCATTCGTTTTGTTCACTACTAGTGTATATTAACTATGCAGGCGCTTTGTTGAAATTGTGGTCCGAGTTATAGTTTCGGTTAAATTAATGATGCTACAAGACCCTGCGAAATACTTATATTTATCAGCTTATTTAATTTAAAGCTTAATTTTGCTTCGCGAGATTGAAATTGTGTTAAAATTGTCTTTGTCACAGAAGAAAAACTAATTTCTTTTTAATTCAGTTGAGAAAACGGTCACGATTTTCGCACGCTACTCTACGTTAGAATTTAGAAATGCTACTTTTTCCGTCCCGAGCTCTTGTAATTATCCTCGAACTACCTGACAAGTTAATTTTATAAATGCCCGATCCACAATTTCCCACTAGGATCATCCCTCACTCAGCCATGACCTTGTCAATCATCTTATCTTCCACCATCTAACAGGAAATGGTTCTAAAATTTATAACGTCACGCTATCGCTCTTTCCTTTTAAAAATTTAAAGCTATAGTTTGCGGTGTTGCAATGATTTCGAAACCGCATTAACCTGGTTATATCGCGACAAATGTTTAGATACGCCTATTGAGATTAACAAAAAGAGAAAAAAACAACACGACAAAACTATTACCATATCTTGCATGGGCGGTGTTAACACACACGCCGACAAAAGCTTTGCGTAATGGCTGTATTAGCAAGCCATGTGATGGATTTGTAGATGAAGAGAAATCTGAAAGAAAAATTAGTTAATTAAGTGAATAAACGGATCTTATCTTGCTTCCTGCATCGATTTATTTCGCTAGTTAGTCACTTTCACGTTGCTTCATTTTTTACCAAGTAAAACACCAATAGGGAATTTTACTACATTCTGGTGTTTATTGCAGTTTTACAACCTGGAAAGTGGTATAGGCCAAGAAAGGCAAAATGTAGGGGAAAAACTGGCTTTTATGTTTATTGGCCATTCGCACTAACCAGAAAAGTAGTACATTAATAATGCTAAAATATTTTCCAGCGAAAAAAATTATAATTTGCCAGAGTTGTAACCAAATCCTATTTGAAACCCTCGTTAAAAGTTCTTTGATCTGATCTATTTTTAAATTTCGCCCTATTTTTGTAAAGGTATTTAATAATTTTGCACTTTACATGACATTTGGATGAAAGATAAATCGTTATTACTGAAATTTAACGAAAACACGTGTTACTAAATAGCCAGTCGTTGCCCCTCATTTGTTAGATATTTTTATAATTTTTCGCAAAAGTATTCTCACTTGCCAATTTTTATATTAATTATTATTTTTTCTTACATTATAATTATGTTGTATTTTCTTAAAACTAAAAAAGAGACATGGAATGTTTCAATTTTACAACGTAGCACCGAAAAATGCACTGTGCGAAATTGAAATTTATTTTTTCACTTTAAACCATTAAGACAATTGGTTCGATTTTTATATTATTTAAATGCGACCATATTTCAATCTGGAAGTGATGGTTATTGCTTTCGTTCATTAAAATAAGATTGCGTTTTATTGCATTTTAATGAACTGCAAGTCGATTGTGTAATAGGATGCATTAATCAATAAATTTGAGGTGATTCTGTTTTTAGAAAACGAATTAGAAATTCATATTTTGTTCTTGTGAACCTTGCCGTGCCCACAGATCTTTCTTAATATTTATGCACTTGTGGTGTAATTTTCGTAGTAAAAATTGATCTTGAAAGGGTTTGTTCATTTCCCTTGTCCCGTAAAAACTCGCTAATTCAATTTCCCGGTTCTATTAATAAGTAAACTGTTTATTATTCCTGCGACGCGCGGACCCTTTTCCGGCTGAGTCCCCAAATCGAATTAATCCAAGTCCAGGTGAATTCTTGGCTGAGATTAGCTGTATCTCTCGTGAATTTGCATAGATATATACCCAGTGTTTGTCTCATTACCAAACTGGGTTAGCAGTGGGCAAATCAGTAGGATGGTGTGGTAATTAGTCGAGAGAAAAACGCTCCAAGTTGTGTGTTTAATGAAGGTAAATGCAGGTGCTTATCCAATTGAGTTCATTAGACGCGTCTTATTTGTTTAAAGCAATTATTTAATTTGCCGAGAAGACAGTTTCAAACGATAACCTTGTTAAGGCAATTGATAACATAAAGAGTTTATTCCGGTCTAATTTCTTATTATTTTATCTCGCTTCAATGGAATGAAAATGAGGGAATTTCAAACAATTATGATTTATTAGAGGAGAGATTGAAACCTGTTTCACGTTGCCGTTCACACCTTTTTTCATTGTTGTACAGCGACCCACGCTCAGGATTTAATTCTATAATTACTGCCAGTTTCTAAGCTTAGAGAATTGAAATCGTATTCACACAAAGAAACCCTTTTTCGCCCACTCACGCACATTCGCCAAGTTTTTTAACACTTTTTTAAATACTCCAAAATCTAGTATATTTTTATTCGCTTATTCGCATATTCACTAAATCGCGAATTCGCTTAAATATTTTACAATTTGTTGTGTTTGTATTTAACCGAAATCTTTTAAATCCTTTTCACTCACCCATTTTAATACATAAATACTTTAAGTAAACTAACCAACAATTCGCATATTCGCCAAATCGCTTATTCGCAAATTTGAAACATAATCTATCCTAACTTAACTACGCTGCATATTTTACAATTTGCTGTTTTAGAATTTATTTATGTTTGATTTAATTAATATATTACTTTCTAAACCCCTTTTTTTAAATTTTAAATTGACATTTCATTATATCGCAACATTTTTGCACATCCGTAGCCTCTGTCTAAATTATTTAGTTACGTTTACGTCTTTATGTAACCAGTTTGTAGCAATAAAATTAATAATAAATAGTCATTTGTAATGCAAAAATTGATAATAATTGACGTAATTCTTTTATTTGAATTTTTTATTATGCATGTATTTTTGTTGTTTATAATTTTTGAAGTAATATTGTTTGTTTGACTTAAACGCTGTCATTTGTCACGTTTTTGTTGATGCAGATCAGTATTCGATTTAATTTTAGCCCAATTTCTGCGAATTTTAAGTTATGTTGTCAATTTTAATAATTTTGGGAATTTAAACATTCACACAACGCTTTGTTTGTTTTTTATTGAGACCAGATGTTCATTTATTTATTGTTGCCCCAACTTTTTTATTTTGTTTTGTTTTGTTAAGTTTTTTTCTTATTTTTTTGACAGAGCTCCCCCCGGTGCCTAGCGACTCTGAAATGGAGGTGGCTAGCCTGCCCACAAACACAAATTTACCCCCGGTAGGCCACAAACCCAGTAAAAAAGAAGCGAAATTGATGCAACAACGTCTCGAACGTTTAGCAAAGGTCAACATACATTTACACGGTAAGAAAACCTCTAAAAGCTTCTCTGACAAAAAAAATACTCAATCATCCGAGTCGGAATGACTTCTCAAGTTCACAACCCCCAGCAATACAAGACTTGTTTTTTATTCATTTTTCCAACACCAAACTGAAATACGAACTGCAATTCCGGGGGTGGATCCGCCGGGTTAGGATAAACTCGTGCAATAACATTTTTCCTTCGTTTGCCAGTAAAGAGTAATTTTATTTCAGTGCAATCGCGGAAATTCTGATTACTACGATCGACGGGTTTCCATGCTAGGGTCGTTTTTCTCGGTTTAATTATCCACAGTGATTGTTTCGCAATTTTTGGGCGACTGCGACTTTTTGACGAAACAATTTCGGAGGAATTTATTTACTTTCGGTTACAGTTCCTTTGGGAGAAGCTTTTGCAAAATTAATTTCGTTTTTGCTTTAATAAATCATAATGGAAACGAACACCAAAACGCAACTTGTCCTCGTACACAATATCTAGACCTTTAATAATAAATTACAGTGCGGAAATGAGTCACTGATATCATATTAAGGAAAATTATTTCCATCTGCGACAGTCTCGAAATTTTTTGTTGATATATTTGGAATAAATATTTATTTTAATAAACTTATTTTTCTCTTAATCACCTTCAAAGAGAACCGTTTATTCTTCTGTTGCGTTGTTATCCCTCTTATCTCTCATATTATGTAACCTTTCCCGTTGCTTATCTCCCGTGCAAAATAAATAAAATCAACATAGTCTTCCTCGTGTGTCTTTACTAACAGAAAACACTTTTTCTAAACGGCCATTCTTACAATTGAATAAATTTAAAATTTCCAAGTATTGATTTTGCCCGTAATTTGTTTTAAAGTAGCAGCCGACAAAGCATCTAAGTGGAGTATTATCGAACAAACTTGTGAATATTTATCACAGCAAGAGGAACTTTTCGATTTGGAGCAAATTTTCGCCGCGATTTGATTACATTTCACCAACGACGCTTATTTGGCGTTCACTTTTAATTATTATAGACTTGGTGTAATTCCTCGGACGTGGTCACCGTTCATTAAAACTTCTCGCATTATTACATTTTGATGAGGATGTTAAACGCCTTAAGTGGTGACCCAATCACCATCAAATTTATTACTTATCACTCTTTTTCAGCCCTATTTGCTGCAGTGGAACACGGACATTTGGAAAAAGCACGCACTATTCTCGAATCCACCGACGTTGATGTGAACAGGTGAGTCAGCCCCTGAAGTTTAGGCAACCAGTAATACATTTCATCCATAGTTTTAGTCTCGGGGGTAGTATAGGTGTCTTTTAATTAAATTGGACTACACCTCGGGGTTATATAAGCGTTTATTACCGACGAAATGCCATCAGCATCAGAAATAGAGTTAATTAAGCACGAGCATGGAATTTCTATCACACTTAATAACGACAAAGACATGGATGATATATTTCAAAAACGCGAAATGGGAGTTGTGAGGGATTTTCGAACAAGCGACTTGGTCACTGTAAATCTGATTTGGAAAATTTTGCTCTGAAAGGTCAAGAGCTGGATCGCAAAGGCGGACAAAAGCCACTCCGTGTAATTAATTCATCACGAATTGAAAGTATTTTTAATTTATTTAAGAGTAGAAGTCGAAACGAAAGAATTTTTTGCTCTTAGTGACATATTTAGAAAATTGAGTCTTGTTATGTGCCACTTCTAAAAATATTAGTTAATTCATTTTGTTCAAGATTACTTTTGCTTTTTTTGCTTAAATTTTAATTTTTAAGTGCCATATTTTTAAAATTTTTTGCACAAAATTAAAAACTAATTAATTATCTCAAGTAAAACGCGATTTTGTGATGACATTTTAAAAATAATAAAAATTGATTTTGATTTTTCAACTCTTTTATTTTCCTCGTGGTCGTTAAATTTTACGATACTATCCTTATTCACGTCTCACTTAATTAATTTTGTTCCCTTTGAACTTCTCATGTATTTGGTTCGAGAAATCTGTAAAGTCATGTCTTTTCAAATGTTTCAATGTCTTTCGTGCAAATTGCAATACTTCCTTTTGAATAAAATTAAAGCACCTGTTTTTGACACTAATTAACTACTTTTATGTATGAAAAGGAAATTAAAATTTTTTGTTGTTTGAATAGAGCTAAATAAATCACCGGATGTGGCTAGTAGCATCTATTTTCACTAAAATAAAAATAAAATGTGACCCAAATCGATATTTTTATTTATTTTTAACTACAAAAAACGAAATTCAATACATGTGAAAAACTAAGAAAAATGCCAGCGATGCTTTTAATGTAGCAATTTATTTAGTGGCTGCCTTCGCCAATTCAATTTCTCTCTCCCACGCGGCAAAAATTAAATTTTACCTTTTTCGAATCGATTCCGGTTTGTTTTTCAATCATTCATTTCCAATAGCCAATCAGATTAAATAGTTAATGAGACGTTTTCTGTTCTAGTTTAAATAATGACGGCCTGTCCCCCCTCGACGTCGCCGTTTTAAGTAATAACAGACCTTTGGTGAAAATGCTTGTCGGTTTCGGTGCCAAAGAGGGTCACAGATGTAAGTAAAAATTGTCTACGTAAACAAAATCTCCAACTTTTATTAGTTTCAAACCCCGACAAATTGGGATCTCATCTCAAACAACTACTCGGGGAGGCTGAAATGAGGCTACAGGAACTCGGAGGGTTGCTAGAAGAACCTTGTGGGGCTCCACTCAACACCCGAGCTTCGTTCTCCAGTATTATAGGCAATGCGTACCCCACATCGGCGATGACAGGGTGTGCAGGAGGCGATAATGATAAACAAGCTATAGCGTGGAGTCGGAGGGCTAAAACTCTCAAAAGACTTGTCCTAGGTTTCGCCCAAGCTAGGCCCCCCGACCCTCCTTCGTTAGTAGCCCTTGATATTACCTCCCTGTCTTCGGTTTCAATGCGACTCCAGGAACCAACAACGAACGATTCGCCCATCACAACCAAATTTAAAGGTTTGAAGGTTGGGTTTGTGACTGACCATGGGGTGTTTCATGGGTTGGTTTTTAGTTCAATGGTCGACTCGGCCCGATTTTAGCCTAATTTCCGGCGAAAAAGAGATTCTGGACATGTCCAAGACCAGTTGTAGTATAGAATTGACTCAGGGTAGGAGGTACTATTTTCGGGCGGCTTGTGGCAACTTGAAGGGCTATGGGACGTTTCTAACTTCAACACCGTCATCGGTAGTACCATCAACGTGGCGAGAAGTTGATAATAAAAAGTCAAGGTTTGATCGATGTACGATTTTTGGTTTGGCTTTTAAAACTCTTGGATATTGTAGGTTTGATGGGAGGTTGCGCCAGTTGGAGCACCTCATGGAGGAGGTGAAGCAGGTGAGGCCCGGGAGCGAGATTCTTGAGACTCCTGGCCCCCAGAGGCGTACCCAACGCAAAAAAACCACAATTAAACAACTCTTCACCGCTGCTAGCAAGTTCCAGAAGAACCTCCGACGTGGTATTTACCTCGCGTGTATTCTCTACCACGAGGATAAGGTCCTAGTGACCAACGAGGATTTTTTGCCTGTGATAGAAATCGACGAGACTTTTCCCAGTTGCATTCACACGGATCTTCACTGGTTGATGAAGGTTTCGTGTAGTTGGGATGACACCAAGTCGTTGCGGAGCGATATGGAGAAGAACGCCTCTTCGGCGATACATTTCCGGACCAAACTCCTATCGGCAGTACTCCAAATGCAATCTTCATTGTGTTTGCAAGATTTAGGCCAGTTGTACTACCGGCCGTTGCGGGATTCGCAAGGAACGGTCGTGTTAAGTACCGTTAATTATGTGAAAACGCCCAAAAGTGTGTCGGTTTTGAACTCGAGGTGGTTACCGATGAATAAAGTCTTCAAGAAAATGGTACTAGGGGATGACCATAGCATTTCGGAGATTCTAATGGCGTCGATCCAGGAACAGATCAATTATCACCAAGTGTCGAGTTTGAAACTGAGCAAGGGCTTGTATTTGGCGTACTTGAAGATGCAGAGCTCGGTGGACTTGATCCAAGTGGTGGTGTCGGCAAAGTCGCCTAATATGTTGCCCCATTGCAAGATTAGAGACAATCCGCACGTTTCTGCGTAAGTATTTTGAGAAATTTAAAGATGGGATTCGAATTTTGGTTGTAGGGAGGAATGGGAGTACTTGAAGCAACAACACTTGCCAGACTTGACCGACAACGCCACCGAGCAACAACGAACCTTCCTCGAGCTGGTGACAAGTGCCGCCAAACGCCTTTTCAACTACATGGATATCAGTAGTGAGGACGCGAGCAGTCACCGTTTGTACGACACCGAAGTCATTGACTTGACCGACGAAGTCAGCTTTATCGTGGTGTGTCCCTCGGCGGAGTTCTCCTGTTCCGTTCCCGGCCAGAGGGAGATTCTCCTCCAAAGAGGCGATTTACTCAGTCTCCCGATCCAAGTCTTCGAAATGATTCACCTCAACACGTACCAAAACAGCATCATCAAGAAGTACTCGAAATTGAGCTGTCTCCTTGAACTCGACGCTGCTACAGCCAATCACCTCCACCGTGAAGCCTTCTCCAACAGTGAGGTCGCCATAGCTAAAGAGAGATTGACCAGATTGCAAGACCTCCAATCCAAATTGAACCAGATTTGGAAGACTGTACGCTGGTTAATGGATGTGATTACGTTTGCTCGTGATAGAATCACGTGTGGGATTTCCATGAGGTACATTTTAGACAAGGAAATCGGGTGTACTAGTCCCAAGAGGAGTCTCCTTCAAATTCCTCCACGAGAAAGCAAGGTTGTTAAAAGCACCCCTGGGCGTGGTTCCTGGCCAGGCCCCGGCTGTAGCAACAATATAAACCCTCCAAACTCCCTAATGAACGAGTTTAGTAAAAGTGAGCAACACTTGAGTACCAATGAAGCATCATCTCAGTACTTGAGTGCTTGTAGTGACACCGAATCGCGCAAAAACAGTGACAGTTATAATAGTGATTTTTTCACCGAAAGGTTACCACCGTCACGTAGTGAAGACATGTTATTTGCAATACCAACAACATCAAATCACCGGTGCCGTGCAAGTACTGTTTCAAGTGTCTCCGCGTCGACTAGTCCCCTACTAAGTGTGCGACCTCTCTATGGCGGTAGCCTAGTCAGTGTAAACACCATAAACACAACAAATACTTCAGATAGCCTCCATAGTTTAAGTTCGGACAGTGAGGGGAACCCAATTACGTCAACTCCTCACAAAATCAAACATCGCCCCAAAATGGTACCCTCACGCAGTATGACAAACGTCAAACAAAATATCCTAGATGTGAGTACCAAATCGGAGCGGTACCGCCCCAAACACCTCAACCTGGAACCCAACCTGGAAACCGGTCTGTCCAAAAGTCTGTCAAACCTCATGAGTACCACTTATCTCAAACCGCTCGAAAACGTGAAACGCGAACCTGATACACTCTTCAAGGTACCATCCGAGGTCCCAACCAGTTCCAAGGAACTCCAATCGGGGATTCTCCAAGTCTACGCCGCCTACGAGACAGGTCTCGCGAGTGGTACCTCTCTCAAACTGCATGTCACGCCACGAACCACCGCTCGAGAGGTCGTCGATTTAGTGGTGAAACAATTGAACATGGCTGTGGTCTTGAAGGGCAAAGACGGGCCGATTTACCCCGCTGATAAGTTGAAAAACTTCTGTCTTGTTGCTGTGATTGGTGCTCGGGAAAGGTGTCTCCGGGACGACTTCAAGCCTCTTCAGTTGCAAAATCCGTGGAGGAAGGGGCGGCTTTACGTGAGGCAAAAGCACGATGTCTTGGCGGCGTTGGAACACAGTAGCAAACACAGCGCTATTATTTAGGAGAGTTTGACTTTAATCAATTTCGTGGTGCTATTGAGGGTTGCAAACCTAATTATGATTGTTGTTTGGAACCTAAACCTGATTACGTTGTATGATACTGTGATGATAAGATTGATATCAAAATTTTCTAATTCTCCATCCATTTTTGAAGATATTTTCGAAAAATTTTGTGCAATAGCGTCCTAAGATTTGATTTTGACGTCCAACTGTTGCTCACTTCTTGGGTTTCTCGAGGATTATGAACACCAATGACAAGTATTAGAAAATGCTAAATGTTAGTCTAGAGAGTTTTCAAAATGTATAATGCGTGTTATTTATTAAACAATGTGCTAATATTCACACTATATCATAGCGTTTATGTGTTCATGGATTTTTTAACGAGTTTTGTTAAGTTCGCGCTGGAACTTTTTAGTACAAATATTTTATTGTGTTACGTAATTTTATAAGTGTAAATAGATTGATTGTCTTGTATAGAGAAAGTTTATTGAAATACAGTGCAATTAAAAAATATGCATGTAAATAAATTATTTTCCGGATAATGAAGACTTCCTTCAATATGTGGAAATGCTAGGCTAGGAGAGGTATTTTTTCAATGCATTGTATGACCGTTGTAATGCACAAAATGTCTTGAAATGTTTTAAATGAAGTGTATAGAAAGACTAAATAAATATGTTAACAAATTTGAACAGTTTTTCTAAAAATAATCATTACAAAACACATTTATCTCCCTCCTGTTTCAACCTAATCGAGGAAATTTGTCACGCTCATGCTATATATAATTTAAACAACATTGTTAACACTCCTAGTAGAATTCAGGTTGTGCACAAAAGTAATTTACAATGTGGTGGTTTTTCCTCCTTTTACTTTTCACCCCCATTGTCTTTTTTATTTTTTTATATCGAACTCAGAAACACTGGGAGAGGAGAGGACTGAAGCAGAAGAATATGGGCCTCACGATACCAGACAACTGGGCCGAAAGTAAATACCCCATCACTTTTCCTGATTACGTTCTAAAATTTTACGAAATGTTCCCCACCAGAAGGTAACTCATATTTTTTTAATTCATTTATTCAAGCTCAAAAAATCTTTACACATTTTTGGGCCAAGTATAACAAAGAAGGCTTTGCAAAAATCTAGGTTCAAAAATCAGGGATTTTTTTTGTATATTATTTTCTTTTTAATTTTATTAGCAAAACGTTGATTTTTTTTTATCAAGTCCAACGTGCTTAATTACTATTTCAAATCATAACTGATAAAAACTGTAAACTGAATTGCCTGAAAAATTTTCAGGTACGTGGGTTATTACACCTTGTCGAACCCGAGCCTTTTCATCCGTGACCTCGACCTAATCAAGCAAATCATAGTCAAAGACTTTGAGTATTTCACTGATCACCAGCACTTTATTTGGGAGGAGAACGACCCTCTCTGGAGCCAAAACCTCTTCTCCTTGAAGGGCCAAAAGTGGCGCGAAATGCGTACGACCCTCAGCCCCACGTTCACCAGCAGCAAAATCAAATACATGTTCACTCTAGTACTGAAAAACGGCGAGCAATTCGTTCAGTATTTCCTCGACAAAAACGAGGATTTCATGCAATTTGAAATGAAGGATATTTTCACGCGTTTCACTAACGACGTTATCGCCAGTAGTGCGTTTGGCGTTGAATTCGACTCCTTGCGAGAGCCGGAGAACGAGTTTTATTTGATGAGCAAAGCTGTGACTGATTTTACCGGATTTTGGAAAATTCTGGCCGGCTCTTTGTACTTTCTGATGCCTTCGGTCGCAAAGTTTTTCAATATAAGTTTGTTTCCGAAGAAAGGGAGCGATTTTTTCAACAATTTGGTCAAAAGTAACATTCAAAGTCGTCTCCAACATGGAATTGTGCGTCCAGACATGATCAATATTATGCTAGAAGCGCGCAAACATGGCCTCAAACACGAGGAAACCCCGACGCAAGACACCGGTTTTGCCACAATTGAAGAATCCGAAATTGGCAAAAGTGGGAAAGTTAAGAAGGAAATAACCGACGATGACATCACTTCCCAAGCTCTCGTTTTTATTTTCGCCGGTTTTGAGACCGTTTCCTCAATGATGTGCTTTCTGAGCTACGAACTTGCCCTTAATCCCGACATCCAGAAACGCCTCATCCAGGAAATCGACCAAACTCTGGACTCATGTGATGGCCACGTGACCTATGAGGCTCTCATGGGTATGAAATACCTCGACATGGTCTTGACGGAAAGTCTCCGGAAATGGCCGGTTTCGGCCGGTATGGACCGCGTTTGCACCAAGGAGTACGTGATCGAGCCAAAACTACCCGGGGAAAACCCGGTGAGGGTCGACAAGGGTACTACGATCTTGGTTCCAGTTTTTGCCATCCAACGGGATCCGAAATATTATCCAAATCCGGAGAAATTTGATCCGGAACGGTTCAGTGATGGGAATAAGGGGAAAGTCGTACCTTATACGTTTATGCCTTTTGGGGCCGGACCAAGGAGTTGCATTGGGACAAGGTTTGCGATTATGGAAACCAAAGTTTTGTTTTTCTCGATCTTGAGGCATTTTGAGATCGTGAGAGTGGAGAAAACAGCGGTGCCGATTAGGGGGATCCCCCAGCAAATTACCTTGTCTTCGGCTGATGGGTTCTGGTTAGGTTTCAAGCGAAGGGTTAAGGTCTAGGGGGAAATTTTAGTGAAATAAAATTGGATTATAATTACTGTGTTTTAATTTGTCTCATGGGCGCCGACTTTTCATATTTTCAGTGGGTGCACAAACAAAAAACTTGATAAATTAATCGTCTTTAAAGCAATACAAATAACATAACATACTTTTTTGTATACGCTCCCGAAAACAGCTGTTTTAGGAACTCATTTGAGTCCCTAAAATGAGTCTTTTCCGGACTCAATGAAATAGTACGCAAAAAGGTTATTTTAGGTACTTAGTCCCCAAAAACAGTTTTTGCGGACAAAAAATAAAATTGGTTACTTACTATGATAACGAATTTTTTTTAATTAGTAAGAGGTGTGAATTCGTGTATTGGAAGCTTTAACAAAAAAATCTTGTATGCACCACGTACGCAATAGGTTTTAGGTGACTCCTCTCATTAAAGACTATTTTGCGTACTTGACACATAAATAGCTATTTTTCAGATCTTTTATACATATATTGGTATAACTGGCAGAATTTTCTTCTTCTTTATTTTTGCTGAATTTAATGTATGTATGTATATTTAGAACATTTAAAAACAATATAATTTTTCGTATAGTACAATAGAAAATATCAATAAATAACAGTAAAAAAAATACAAAAGTGGTTAATGTATGTATACAATAAAAAGTGTAAAAAATTGTATATGTTCAAAGTTGTAAAATACCTTTTGTTGAATGAAAAATTGATGCAAAAATTGTTAAATTTAAAAAAAAAATTTGGAAACAATAGTAAAAAAAAATTTTTTGTTTGTAAATCGAGTACTAAACACAACTTGGGGGTATCAACTTTTAGTTAATTAATAACAATTAATTTGAGGTAAGAAAAATTAGGGTATGCAAAAATCTAAATTGTTTCAAAAATTCTGAAAAAGTTGGAAAAAATGTTTTTATCATTTTGATGAAGATTACACAATGTTCAGAAACAATGAATTCCTTTGTTAAACTTTGATCAATCGGTCCGAGAAAACAGTTTGATGGATCGATTTAAAAATTTAGAGCTATTAGGGGTTCATTAATATAACAAAAAAAGTTGCTTTTTTACTTTTCTTTAAATCAATGGTGCGAGTGGAAATTTTTTTTCAAAAAATCGTATATACATATTGTAGGAAATTTCCAGTTTTTGAAACTATTCTCTGTGCGGTCATTGGTTACTAAAATATCGATGATCAAAGACCAAATGATCCTTTTTTATTAAAAGTCAAAAATCTCAGCGAAAAATTGACATAAAGAGAACATAAAAAAAGCAAATTGAAGCTGAAAGAACAAGCTATCCGGCCCATGCATTGATTAAACTAATAAAAAATTCCCCAAGTCGGTGTATCAAAAAAAAAATTAAATAAATTTTAGTTATTTATTCTACGAGTTTGAGTATAAATCGGACGCTTTATTTCACCTACAGTGGATTTTTAAACCACGAGTGGAAAAACCGTAAATTTTGACAGTGTCGAAGAATAAACAATTTTTTTTCTTTCGCCATTTCTTAGGATTACGTAATAATCTAGCTCAGAATTTTTTTTGCCAAAAGATCTCAAAACTAGAAACTTGAAGCTTAAAAATGTTTCTTTTATCTAGATACGACTATTTTTCATTGAGGTACAGTCTTTCAAAAACCACCACAAAATTTAAGAAATTTTTTTTCTTTTTTTTTTGGAATAGAATATAAAAGTTTAAAAGAATGTTTTGAAGTTTTTGAAATCATAACAAATCTTTTTTCAAGGAGTTTTTCACTGAAAAGCTTAATTTTTAATTAATGTGAAAAATGGAAAAACAAAATAGAATAACATAAACTATGAATTTGATTAATTTTTTCAAACGGGAAAATTGAATAATAGCAAATTTAAGACATCTTTGACATTAAAAGTGGGTGCCCCGCACCCATTAAATTTCAATGCAGCTACGTAGTCAGCGCCCGTGATTTGTCCCCAAAAACTCACCGGAATTTTTTTCAAGTTTGAACATAAATCTATTCTGGATTTTTTCCGACAGCTGAGCACTAGCTGATTCAAGTAAATAAATTAAGTAAATGTTTATAATGAGGATTATAAATACTTTTAAATGTAATTTCGAGTTTAGTTGCATTCGTTTAGCTGAAACTTGACAATGTTTCTTTCGTTGTTTGCAGTCTTTTTAAGTGTGTTAATTTTTTTCAAATTTATAAGCCCTTGTACTTACTGGAAGGAAAAGGGAATCAAGCATGTGCCAGCATGGCCTTTAGTGGGTAGCATGGGAAGAGTGTTTTTCAAAAAACAACCATATGTTGAGTTTGTCATTGATTTATACAACAAGTTCTCAAACGAAAGGTACTACAACTACGACATAATTTTTTACCATTTTTTCCTTTCTTAGATATGTAGGTTTCATGAAATTTACCCAAAACTGTGTTTTGATTCGTGACATTGAACTAATCAGGAATATAACAGGGAAAGAGTTTAATTATTTTACAGATCGTACAGTTTTATCTCAACTCAAAAATGATCCAATTCTGTCAAAAAGTCTAATAAGTCTTAGTGGTGACAATTGGAGGGACATGCGAGCGACTCTAAGCCCAGTTTTCAGCAGCAATAAAATCAGAAACATGTACACATTTATCGAAAAGTGTGCTCAAAATTTCATCAGTCATTATAAAGCCGAAGTTGAAGTCGAAGTAAAAGAAATTTTTTCAAAATATGCCAACGATGTGATTGCTTCAGTTGCGTTTGGTGTCGAGATTGACTCTTTAAAAGAACCAAACAACGAGTTTTACGCAAATACATCACCGTTATCTCCGAATTTTTTCAAAAAACTTCTCATTGGTAAAGAAAAAAATGATCGACAAGATTTAGTTAATTTGTTGATGGAAGCTCGAAACGGGGCTCTCAAATTCGAGACGTACAAAAGGGCAAAAGGTGAAGGTTTCGCCATTGAGGGAGAACCAGAAATTGACCCTTTGGCCAACCAAGTGGAACTCTCGGATGACCAAATTTTGGCCCAGGCCCTACTTTTCTTTTTCACTGCTTTTGACACCATTTCCACGTCTTCCAGTTTTCTGGCTTACGAACTTGCTGTCAATCTTGACGTCCAGAAGAAACTCCAGCGAGAGATCGACCGAGTGATGCAAATCACTGGTGACAAAATCCCCTACGACGCTTTGCTTTCAATGAAATATCTCGATCAAGTCATTTCGGGTAAAAATTTCGTCTTGGAGAAATTTTTGATTAAAGATTTTTTGTAGAAAGTTTGAGGAAGTGGCCTCCCAAATTCGAAACCGACCGTCTTTGCACCCGCGACTACCACTTAAAACCCCAAAAGAGTGAAACCCGTTCTCTTCTGATTAAAAAAGGAATGCCGGTTGTTTTACCAATCATCGCGATCCATCGTGACCCTCTTTACTACCCCAACCCCAATCGCTTCGATCCTGACAGGTTTAATGATGAAAATAGATCAAAGGTGATTCCAGGGACGTATCTACCTTTTGGATCAGGTCCAAGAAATTGTCTTGGTGAGATTTACGACCGTTTTTATTGACACGATTAGAATGCTTTTGTCCGTAGGTGTGAGACTCGCACTGCTGGAAATCAAAACATTGTTCTGTTATTTGCTTTCAAAGTTTGATATTGTACAGGTTAAAAAAACGCAAATGCCGATTAAACTCAGTCCCAAGTGTTTGGATATGCAGCCGGAAGATGGGTTCTGGCTGGGTTTTAGACCCAGAAATTAATGTAATAAAAAAAATAAAGCCCAAATAACTGTGGTGTTGATTTGTTATTAAACCTTCAAGAAAATTTAATTGACATGATTGCAGTATTGCAAAAATCATGACCTTCCTAATTTATTATCTAATCGGGTTTGAAGATTGCAATAACAACAAAAAACTGAAAACATGCACTTTGAAACGTGTTTTTTAAGAAACAGGGTTATTTTGATAGAAATATATTTCAAAAATCATGTATAGAAATATTTTAGACTAATTATGATAATAGGCCATGCAGATTTGATCGTTGTCATCAAATAAACTATTTCAAAGCAAATGAGTCATTAAACCAAGGCCGATTCTGTACGTACTGTATTTTATAGTTTGCTATTATTAGTCGTGTTCACTGTACCTAAAACTGTGCAATAATTATCTTATCTTTTAACATATTGATAACATATTGCACCACTGATAAAAATGATTCTTCTCGTGGTGTTAGGTGTCCTTATTTCTTGCATTTGGGCTTATTATAAAATAATTAAACCGGTGAAATACTGGCAAGAGCGAGATGTGATCCACGCCAAAGCATGGCCAATTGTTGGAAGCTTGAAAGATGTCACTTTGAAAAAAAAACACGTTGCTGATGCTATTAATGAAATTTATAACCAGTTTCCCAATGAAAGGTAATCAACAATTATTTTGTCAATCCATTTTAATGTTGATACTCGCAGATGTGTTGGTTATATGGATTTTACAAAACCTTTTCTCATGATAAGAGATTTGGAATTGATTAAAAGGATCACAGTGAAAGATTTTGATCATTTCCAAGACCATCTAGCTTTTGATACCATCATAAGTGATCCACTGTTAGCAAAAAGTTTGCTTAGTCTCAATGGAGAGAGTTGGAAACGGATGAGGGCCACAATTAGTCCAGTTTTCACCAGCAGTAAAATGAGATTTTTATACACTTTGATGGAAGAGTGTGCAGAAAATTTCACTAATTATTTCAAAGAAAAAGAAGTCAAAGTTGAGATGAAAGAGTTATTTTCGAAATTTGCCAATGATGTTATCGCAAGTACAGCTTTTGGTATCCAGATTGACTCTCTCAAAGACCCGAACAATGAATTTTTCAAAATGGGTTCCAGCTTTACTAATTTCGAACTGTGGTCCATTCTCAAAATTTTTATCATGCAATTGGCACCCGGATTAGCCAACGTAATTAATTAAACTAAACCGCTTCGTTTCTAACACTTGATTTTTAGTTACTGCGACTTCGGGTCTTCAGTGAAGAGATTACTAATTTTTTCAGGTCGTTGGTAAGAGACAATATCGAAAAAAGGCACACGGAAGGAATCATTCGTCCCGATTTGATTCACCTCCTCATGCAAGCCCAAAAAGGCCAACTCAAGTCCGAAACAGACGAAGAAATCGAGCACTCAGTCCTCGGCAATGCCAAAATCGAGCTAACAGACGACCACTTTGTCTCTCAAGCCTTAACTTTCTTCCTCGCCGGTTTTGACACTGTTTCAACAGCTGCCAGTTTTATGGCACAAGAACTGGCACTCAATCCCCAAGTCCAGAAACAACTCCAACTTGAAATTGACTCAGTTTGGGAAAAATACAACGGAAAAGTCCCCTACGAGACTCTCCAATCGATGAAATACCTCGACCAAGTCGTTTGTGGTAAGTCAAAAATTTCGCCAAAATTTCTAACCCAGTTTGAAGAAACGTTAAGGTTGTGGCCACCGGCATCACAAACTGACCGACTTTGTGTCAAAAGTTACGTAATCGAGCCGGTGAATCCCAAGGAAAAGGTTGTTTTTGTTGAAAAAGGGACATCGGTTCTTGTACCAATCATGTCAATACAGAGGGACCCCAATTATTGGGAAAATCCGGACAAGTTTGATCCTGAGCGGTTTAGTGATGAAAATAGGACGAAAATAATTCCAGGGGCGTACTTACCGTTCGGGGCAGGGCCCCGCAACTGCATTGGTGCGTCAAGTGAGTTATAATTGCTAAAATTTTATTATTCTGGTTGCAGGTTCGAGATTTGCTTTACTTGAAATCAAAATTCTTTTTTTCCATCTCTTGTCAAAATTTATTCTTGTGCCGGGTGATAACACAGAAATTACGTTGAAACTTGACCCTACGAAACTAAGTATGACTCCAGAACATGGCTTCCAATTGAGTTTGAAACGGAGATTGTTATCTCCTTAACTGATTCAAGTGTTTAGAGGAAATGTCAAGTGGTGTAGGTCACGATTTTGTCACCTCTACATTTCATGACATTGATCTTATCAGGGATTACAGTTTTATTAATATTTTGTAACCACAGTTAGTTCAGTGTCAATAAAAGACAAAAATAACGTGTTTATTTTGGTGGTGCATTTTTATGTAAATAAATAATTTCCAAATCCGTGTTTGTGTGAACCATGTGTTATCAATTGTTCTGATTAGTGAAAATAAGTTATTTCAAGAACAACCATTGAGCAGAAATGTTGTACGTTTTGTTGGGAGCGCTTTTAGCCCTTTTTATTTATTACAAAATTGTCAAACCGGCGAAATTTTGGGACGAACGTGGTGTGACCCATGAGCCGGCTTTGCCCCTCGTTGGAAATTTCCTCCCAGCATTTCTTCGGAGGAAACACCCTGTAGCAATTCTAACAGAACTGTATCAAAAATACCGAGGGAAAAGGTAATCCCAAATTTTTTGATCCCAAAATTAAGTTTAAAATTTCAGATATGTTGGGTTTTTGCAATTCAATCATCCTTTTCTGATGGTGCGAGATATCAACTTGGTCAAACAACTCACTGTTAAAGATTTTGACTCGTTCCATGACCACTTCCCGTTCAACTATGCCAAAAATGATCCCATTTTAGGCAAAAGTTTGCTCTTGTTAAGTGGCCAAAACTGGAAGCAGATGAGGGCGACTTTAAGCCCGGCTTTCACCGCAAACAAAATGAAAAACATGTATCAACTAATGACAGAATGTGCGAAAAACTTTGTTGGGCATTTTAAAGGCAAAGAGAAAGTCGCTGTTGAAGTCAAAGACATTTTTACGCGATTTACAACCGATGTGATTGCTTCAACAGCTTTTGGTATCAAAACCGACTCACTCAACGAACCAAATAACCGTTTCTTCCTCATGGCCAAGACTTTGGGCAAATTTGGGCTCGTTCAAATTGTCAAAATGTTGGTTTCGTCGTTTGTCAAAATCGGGATTTTTCCCAAAGATGTTGTAAGATTTTTTGGCACAATTATCAAAAACAATATTTTTGAGAGAGAACAAAATGGGATCGTGCGACCTGATATGATCCACTTATTGGTTCAGGCTCGTAAAGGCCAACTCAAGTACGAATCATCCCAAGACGAAGGATTTGCCGTAGTTCAGGAGTCCCAAATCGGGCAAAAATTTGACCAGAAGAGACTCACAGATGACGATATTGTGGCCCAAGCAATGACTTTCTTTTTTGCTGGTTTTGAAACAGTGGCAACAGCTTCGTCTTTCATGGCTTACGAGCTTGCCATTCATCCGGAAATTCAGAGGAAACTTCAAGAGGAAATTGATTTTGTCGGGGAAAAATGTGAAGGAAAAGCTTCATACGAGACTCTTCTCTCGATGAAATATTTGGATCAAGTTGTGTGTGGTATGTTTTTGGTGATTGTTAATAAGTTTCTGGAAATTCAAATTATAGAAAGTTTGAGGATGTGGCCTCCAGGGTTCCAGATCGAACGCATGTGTACCAAAAATTACAAAATTCCACCGAAAAATCCCAATGAAAAAGAAGTTGTTTTGGAAGAAGGAATGTCACTCATTATTCCAGTGTTCGCCTTACACCACGACCCGGATTTGTTCCCGGAGCCTGACAAATTTGACCCGGAACGTTTCAGTGAAGCCAACAGAACAAAAATTGTTCCAGGGAGTTACCTACCATTCGGTTTAGGCCCTCGGAATTGCATTGGTGAGTGAAAATTGCCCATTACCAAACACTATTTCACTATTTTCAGCCTCGAGGTTTGCCCTACTGGAAATCAAAACCTTATTTTTCCACTTGTTGTCAAGATTTGACATTGTGGCCATTGACACGACCCAAATACCCCTCAAGTTAAGCACATGGAAGGTGCAATTGGAACCGGAAAAGGGTTTCAGACTAGGCATAAAACCAAGAAAAGTCACTATTTATTAATAAAAAATACAAATTACAATTTTCTACGTTTTAAACCAACCCAAATTCCCCCTTTTGCATCTAGACCTAAAGTTTTAGCAAATTTGAGCGGAATCACTGTCTTTTCTACGGGAACTAAATCAAACTTTGTTAAGAGATTAATGAGCAAGACTTTGATTTCCAGAAGAGCGAACCGTGAACCTGAAAAAAATTTCTAATGAAAAAAAAATTGCATGGAACGGAATCTTACCAATGCAATTTCGTGGTCCTATCCCAAATGGTATGTAGGACCCTGGTAAGATTTTCCCTTTGTTTTCATCACTGAACCGATCAGGGATGAATTTTTCCGGTTCGGGGAAAAACTCGGGACTGTAATGCAAGGCAATGACCGGGATTGCAACCAAACATCCTTTTTCAATAATTGCCACTTTTTCTCCTTCTTGTTTCGGCCTGATGACATAATCCTTGACACAAATCCGGTTCAGGACATAACCTGGAGGATATTTCCTCAAGGCTTCGGACACGACTTGGTCTAAGAATTTCATTTTGAGGACTTGTTCGTAGGAGATTCTCTCTTCCATGACCAAATCAATTTCTTTTTGCAAGTTTTTCTGGATTTCTGGATTCACCACAAGTTCGTAGGCTAGGAAACTCATCAAACTAGACGAAGTGGTGAAGCCAGCAATGAAAAAAACTAGAGCTTGTGCTGTGATAAGTTCGTCTGTGATGTTTAGTGAGTTTTCATTTTTCCCAATTGGTGACTCTTGAACTGTTGCAAAACCAGTATCGAGTGAATTTGGCTCGATTTGGTCATGTTTTAGTCGTCCTTTTCGGGCCTCCAACAACAGATGGATCATATCAGGTCTTAGGATCCCTTGCTTTTCCCTTATAGTAATCGCATCTTTGATAATCCGGAGGAAAAAATCGGAAATTGTAGAGGGGAGAGCTGGAATTCGGAAAAACTGCACTGGATTGCCTCCCAGTTGAAAATCGTATTAAAATACCTCAAAAATCTTCGGGAAAAAACCGTAGAGGAGGCTTTTGAGGAGCCTCCAAGGCGTTGGTTTGGACACAAGAGTGCCCATTTTGTAGAACTCGTTCCCTGGGTTTAACAACGAGTCGCATTCGATTCCAAAAGCGCAATTCGCAATCACATCATTGGTGAATTTCGTACAAATGTCCTTCATTTCGACTTGGACAACACTTTCGCCTTGACCTAGAAAGTGTTGAGTGAAATTTTCCGCGGTTTGTGCGATTAGTGTGAACATCGCTCGCATTTTGCTTCCGGTAAAAGCTGGACTTAGGGTCGATCTCATCTCGCGCCATTTCTGGCCCTTCAAGGAAAATAAATTAAGCCCAAGAATAGGGTCGGTTTTCTCGTTTGTAAAAGCCGAGTGGTCTGTGAAATGTTCAAAATCTTTCACTGTTATTGATTTGATTAGATCCAAATCGCGGACAAAGAGCGACGGTTGGAGGAATTGGTAACTGCCATAGTATCTAGAAATTTGGTCAAATTTTTGGATTATTCTTTATTTTGGTTACCTTTTATCGGGATGTTCGTTGTAAGCAGCTATGACAGCTTCAGCAAATGACTCTTTCCCCAAAAACACTTTCCGAAAACGGGTCCATGGTTTGACGTAAAAAATATCGCGACGTTGCCAGTAAAAAAAGGGCACTACCAGTTTAAAATAAATAATCGCAAGGAAAAGAAGGACAAATAGCAACACTGCAAACATGGCTGAATGAAATGTGAATACCTGGGAGATGCTTTCACCTTGATTCGAGTTTAGTGAACTCTGGACGAAGATAATTATTATTAGTGAAATTTTCTGGTTTGTGATTAAATCAAAAATAAATCATTTAATTTGTTTTATTTCGCATGAAATCATATGACTTCAAAACTCGTGACAAAATGACTTAAAAATTATTTTATTTTAATTCCCAAGGTAATGATAGGGTAAAAATGTTGTTGTACCAGTTATTTCAAGTTCTTCACGTGACATTTTTTTTAAATTAAATTATATAACGCGGCCTTTGAACAAAGGTAATGACTAGCTTGTCTGGAAGTCATCTTTTCATTATTTTAGAGTTTTAGAAATGCAATTTTATCTTGACAAATAATAAAAACATTCTTTTACATTTTTAAATTAAAGGAAATAAAGTGAATTTATAAACGATTTATTTGTAAAAAACGATAATTTTGTGATCATTTAAATTTCGACAATTTATTCAATTATTTTTTTTCTGTAATTCTGAGTATTATTGGAATTTAATGTTCTTTTAAATATGGTAGCATCCGATTTTTTACATTTTGTGAACAAATGGTAAACTAGTTCACAAATTTACGCACATTTGCAGAACCTTTTGAACAATGAAGTTGAAACTTTTGTTCGTAAGCACATTGCTTTTTCTCATACCTAGCATTGTATCAGAAGAAAAAAAGCTCATAGTTTATGATTCGACAACAGTAGATGAACATTTCCGTACTAATACAACAAGAAAAGAAGAAAATGTTATTGTTGTATTTGAAGAAACATTTGAGATCAAAGTTGAGAATGAGTTAAATGTACTTCGGAAAAATATGCTGGAGATAGAGGAAGAACTTAAATACTTAATTATTAGTGGTGTTAATTTAAGTGAAATTGAACCAGAAACTTTCTTTGGACAGAACATCATTTATTCGATTGATCTAAGTGACAACAAACTAATCATCATACGTTCAAACACATTCCGAAACATATCTTGTAGAAGTTTAGTTTTGCATTCAAACGGAATAAATTATATTGAGGAAGAAGCAATTTCAAATATGCCCAACTTGGAATTTATTGATCTAAGTAATAATCAAATTGTTGATTTTACTAGTGACTCTTTCGTTTCCTTACCGAAGTTAAGTGCATTTATTATTAGTGATAATAAGCTTAAAACACTGAAGAAGAAACAGTTTGATTTCATGAGTAAGGAAGAAATATTATCAATCTCAGCTAGGGATAATTCTATTGAGGAAATTCATCCAAAAGTTTTTGAAGGAAAATTTGTGTTTCAATTGATTTTGGCAAATAACAATATCAGGGATGTTCCCTGTGATATTTGGAAACAAAATAATTTGGAATTTGTAAATTTGAGCGGGAATAAGTTGGAAGAACTCTGCGATGAATCTTTTTATAATAATAATACAAACATGTTGGTGGATTTGCGCGATAATCCTTTGAAATTGGAAACTTTGGAAAAATTGAAACGGAAAGAAATGTTTTTCGTGAAATAGAAATCAAACATTGTAAACGTTTTGTTGTACACAATTTTGTTTAATACAATATAAAAATTTCCCAGATTTTTTACATTTTTTTTATCCGTTTTAAAATCCTTAAATAGAAATAAACAGCTTTAAAATTACCTAATAATAACTAATAATAAAAAATATTCAACAGTAATTACATCAGTGATGATAATTTCTTGATAATTTTAAAATTCAATCAATCGTGCGAGAGCATTTGGTGCATGCAAATGGTTGTAAAAACTACAGGATAGGATAAACTAAAAGAAGATAAATTTGAAAATTAACAAAACATTATTGAAATTAAAAAAAAAGATTTAAACATAAATAATTATTGATCATAGAAATAAGTTGCAGAAACCAGGTATTTAAATTTAATGAAGAAATGTTGAGGAAATCAGTCTGTTCATTTAAAAGGTCAATATTAATGTTATTTCAAATAAATCGGAAACAAATACAATAAATTGTACAAAATTTATTTGTAAAAGACGTTAACAATTATATTGGAAAATTATTTTGGTCGGTGACTCCTCATCCAACCTCTTTAACCGCCTCTGAGTGGGGCAGTCGAGTGGATTTCCCGTGAAAATCCCAAGAGTCAAATGATTCAACTGGAAGAAACTCCCCGGCAAATTTTCCAATCTATTGTCTTGCAAATATACTCTAACCAGAGTATGACCCTCAAAAACCCCACTTGGCAACTCCTCAATTCTGTTCCTCCTCAAATTAAGTGTCTCCAACATAACATCGTTGAAACTCAAACAATCAACGTTTTCGATTTTGTTATTATCCAATAAAATTGTTACCGGTTTTTCACTGTTCATGAAACGGAACCAATTCGGACCCACTTTTTTCAGCCGATTAAAAGCCATGTCCAGATAGATAGCCGGCGCTGAAATAATCGAATTTTCAAAAATTTCCACAATTCGATTATTCGATAAATTGATAATTTCCAAATTGGGTAAGTCAACAATGGCTTCGTTTTGCAAATAAATGATTTCATTTTGTTTAAGTATAAGTTCAAAAATTCCTAAATTTCTGAAAGTCCCAGTTTCGATCACTTTCAATTCGCTGTTGGCAATCACAATAGTTTCAGTGATTTCCTGATCGACAAAAGCGTCACTTTGAATTCTCTTCAACTTGTAGTTTGTATCCATAATAAAAATCGAAGTTTTCTCTCGGACTTCTAACAAATTTTTCCCAAAAACTTCAAACTCATCTTCAATTATCAATTTTTTCGCGTTTTCCACACTTGTGATTTTATCTTCATTTCGACGGATTGTTTCACCACCCACTGTTATTGTGTATTTCACTCCTTCAATTAAATGTGAACAGGTCACAACTGTGGTTAAAAATAATTGAAAGTTAACAAAAACCATCATCAAATCTGGAATAAGTTAATACAGGTCTGGGATTTTTATTTAATTGTGTATGAGGTAAAAAAATGTTACATGACATAAAAAATGTGTAAAGTTATTTTTAGATTGTTTTTTCCTTTGATTCACCGGAATTAATCAGAAAGTTTTACTGGTTGCCGACCCACAAAATTAAATTAATTTGTATAATTAATTAATTTGTTTATCTTCTTTTTAGTACGTGATCACTAACAAAAAACGATTACGGAATGTGAAATTCTACACTTTAGCACCTATTTATCAGAATTAATAATCTTCGTGTAAAAAACAGACTATTTTGATCCCAATCTCTCATATCAGATTTTCGTGTCAACTAATGAGTTCAAGTAATCGCTGTTAATTAAATGAGTTAATTTGTTTAGCCAAACGAATTCATGTGATTATATTTATGCCAGAAAAATAGCCCTGCAATAAAATTGTTTAAGCAGCAGCAATTAATATCACGAGGTAGTTTAAACAAGTGGCTACTTAAAAAGGGGCCAAATGTCAATGCGACACAGCATGTTGTGTGCCACTGGTAATGATGACTAATATTCATTGGGAATTTTACAGTCAGGAGACGATTTTTACACTATCAGCCATTTACATAATTGATAATTTTTTTCTGATTTTTCGAAATGTTTGCAGAGTCAAAGTACACGCATTTCTTATCCTCATGCAAAATAATTTGTACTGCTTATCATGATTTATTAACACCGGTTGGCTAACTCAAACAAGCCATAATTTTACATTTTCTGAAAATTTTTTTGTTTGTGCAAGAAATGTTTTTTTCCAACTGCATGTCTCATGTGTCTAGAATGTCAGGGATTAAGCAAAATTCCAAGACATTTCTTTATCTTTTTTAATATACATAAATATTCCAAATTATTGTTGGCAATAATTAATTGTTTTATCAATAACGGTTTAGCAATTTTGTTTTAATCGGTCTATAACTCGTGTGACAATACGACGTTTTATAACGCCAGTAATCTCTTAAAGCACTCATTTGAGTGTCGAAATAGGCCCCTTTAACACTCTTCATTTTCAAGGTTGGCAGCAGTGCCAATAACCAGTGTTAATCAATTGACGCAAAACGTTCCCTGAAGTTTGGTTAAATTTTTAAATAAATAAATTGATTTTGTGTTAATTTGAAAAAATATTGTTGTCAATCATGTATTTAGCAAATACTTGTGTGATATAATAATAATGTAAACGCGCAAAAGCTGTCATTTATTTTTTATAATTTTAAAAACAAACACTTTATCCTTGTGATTTATGAAACAATTTGTTTTAAAATCTTTGTTAAATATTATGTTAAAACTATAGCAAAACATTTTCAAACTACTTTCAGTGACCCAAAATTTGCCCGGGAATTCCCCGATTGTACAAACGCCTCTAGTGACCCATTTTTGGAATTAAAACTTAAGAAAGTATCACCTTGTCACGCATTGTTTTTATCCGTAATTTTTCTAAACGATTGTAGGTTAATGAACCAATTTAAGTAAACAAATAATTTAGAATTGTCATAATGACGTCACATGAAAGTAGTTCTTATTGACGTGATTTTGCACTTCTGAGAAACAAATCTGGTTGGTGTTAAATTATTAATGATTTTTTTATTAAAATCATTTGGTGGATGCGCCGGTTTAAGTTATCTCACTTTGTAAATATTTTCCGAGTTAATAAAATGTTAATGACATTTTGTGAAATATTTATTAAAATTTGAGCTAAAAATATATTTAAAAATAACAACGGTAATATTTAAAATTTGCAACTTGTATTGTAATAAAAAGTAACCTTGTTTTAGTGATTACCACCCGGAAAAAATCGATTTCGGCCGAATTTTTACTCAGTGATTATTCAAAAAATGCTAATAAAACACTGATAAAGTGATATACAGTATTGTTTTTTCCAAATTTGAATACATAATACTTTGTTGCCAAACATTGTTCAAATTTCTGCTCGTAATTACAATTGCTGAAATAATAAGTGCTTTTGTTATCAAACATTTGAACCAGTTTTCTCAAGTTAATTCACATTGTTGAGTTTTCTTATTATCAAGATCGAGATAAGTTTTACTTCAATTTCAATTTTATCCTCAATTTGCATTTGAATTTATTGCAAATTGAAAACTCTAGTGTTAAAAAATGTAAAACAGTTCAATATTTACAAAATTTGTCAAGTTTTAAGTCAGCTGAATTTTATTTTAAAAATTAAGATGAGAAAACAAGATAATCAAAACGACAAATGTCAAAATTTTCTACTAATTTTGAGTCATCGATATTTTGGAAAACTATCTCACAAAGTGAAAATTTAATAATTTTAGCAAACTTGACGTTTTTTGGAAATCCTTTGATAATCTGGGATCGCAATTGGGATTAGGCGTGCGTAGGCTTAAAACGTCATAGAGAAATCTACTCTGAGAAATTGTATGTTTTATTACTTTTAAGACCTGATTTCTGTCTCTAATACACAAAAATTCCATAAAATCTTAAAAATGTACAAATTTGGTTAATACCTGATTGTTTATGGCCGAAATAGTCATAAAATATGCGCTATTTTTCTATAGGACGGGCTAATATTTAAATAGCAAGTTTGTTTTTCCAACTCGCAATTTTTCCACGACTGAATAACTTTAATAATCCCTAATTTTGACAGTATGAGTCTTGTGGACCTAAACTTGTTTAATTATGACTCAACGATGAATGATAAAATAATGTAAAAGTAAATAAATCATAAAAGAAATTCCTTCCAAAGTCTTGTAAAAAACTACGTAAATAAGTCGATTATCGTGCGATTAAACGGCTTATCATTACTTTGCCTGTATTAAACACAATAATCCACCTTTTTTAATCCCTCACTTCTTGAAAATGCAAATTTTCATCGGAGGGACATGTTAATCTGATTTTCTCAATTTTTTCACGCCATAAGCAATGGCTTAATGTGAGGCGGAATAGTCTCGGTTAAAATTCACGTGAGTTTGTTTGTTTTCCGGGCTGTGAGGGATTCCGGTAATGACGTGAGAAGAGCACGTGACCACCAGTACATATGGAGTTGAAATTTGTTGATGGATTCAGTTTACTTCCAGTTCAGACTATAAGACGCGCTTCAATTGTTATCTCTTCGCCTAGTATTAAATAGTGTGAACAACGGGACTTCATACTAGAACTCGCCAGAAAGAAAGTATAGATAATATGCATCTACAGAACGATGACCATCGCTTCATGTGAGTAGAAATCCCACTTTTTGCGATTATTTACAAAAAACTTGTGTGTTTACTAGTGCAGAACGGCACAATGTGGGGCATTTTAGTTTTAATACATTTTCATTTTTTGATAAGTTTGAACCGATTTGAACTTGGCGATTCTAGAGCAAGGCTTTGATTTATTATCTTTGATTATTTGGTAATTAGCCATAAATCTCAATTATGTAAAATTTGACTAAATCAGCTCGTCTTAAATTTATTATCAAAACGGTGGAATAATTATTGAAAGTGGAAACGTTTGACTAAATTCTGCAACTTCTCGAAATTAATTAAATTGGTGTATTCAACATTAAAAAAATTACAACCGTTGGCAAAATACATATTTTTTTTATTGCCAGATACAATTTTTGTTATGTTTATTGCCGATTTTTAAATTAAAACACATATACAGGTAGAGTCACCAAATTAAAATACATATAACTGATTTATGTTTCAAACGCAAGTTTTTCGTTTTTCCTTTGTTTTCTATTTTTGTAAAATAAAAAAGAAAGAAATTAAGTTAT